TGTATCCAAAGTTGGTACCAAGTTGATAAGTTTTTATCATTTCTCATAATTGGCTTTTAATTTTTAATTTTTTCGCAAACAAAGGATAAGATCATAATTTTTCGCTTTATCCCGTATTCGAAAAATTATATGTTTCAATGGACAAATCGATTTGAATACATAATTTACATTTAGATAATATTTTTAGCAATTTAGCATAAATAAAACATTTAGATTATTGTTTGTATTTTCATCCATTTTAAATATGCTACCCCAAAATAATTGATATCAAATAAAACACCTCTTTGAGGTAGAGTTTTCGAGTGACGAAAGCTGAACTAGAAACACAAAATTTATGATATCAATTTCGTGACGAAAATTATACGCGTTTTTAACTGCCTTTGAAACGTACGGAAAATCTTTTTTTTATTTATTCGGAACGTTGCGAAATTCCGTCTACTGCTAGAAACACAAAATAAAAAACAGAACTTTTGCAACGATTCGTATGAATAAAAAAGATTTTCCCTACGTTTCAAAGGCAGTTAAAAAATGCGTATAATTTTCGTCACGAAATTGATATCATAAATTTTGTGTTTCTCGTTCCGCTTTCGTCACTCGAAAATTTTACCTAAAAGAGGTGTTTTATTTGATTATATATACACGAGATTTGGTTTATATATACACGAGATTTGGAAGTTTTCATCCAGACGTCCAATCGACATGTTTCAGATATCGTTGAAAGGTCCTGGAGAGTGTGTCCAGAAAATGTATTCAAGCTTCATAAGCGATTAACCGGATTCTTAAAAATTAGGCTAAAGTGTTGCGAAAAAAAACGTTTTTTTGCTTTTGCCGGTTAAAGGGGGCATGTGGGCACACCCAACATATTTAGTGTTATTCTATAGGCCAATACCTTTCAATCGATACCTTACATATTAAGTTCCGGCCACTAGTTGGAAAGATATAGAGGTAAATGTGTTTTGGTTCGTGTCTCCACTACGAGATGCTTTGGTATGTATGTGGCGTTTGTACGTACCATCATTTAATTTTTTTCAAACTTTCGGGAATGAAAGTACAAAAAAAAACTAAGAAGGTTTTGTTCCAGGATGCTTTGATTCGTACGCCTTTGTGGGCGTGGCTGCTCCCTGAATTTCGAGAAAAAACTATATTTTAAACTACCACTGAGGCCGCACTACTCAGTCCATGTCATTGATGTGGATATCAGTAGAAGGGTCTTCAAACAAGCTATCTAACGCTATCTTTTGTGTTTATGAAATATAAATATGTCATAACGTTATCGCCTGAAAACTAAAAATCGGGCTGCTGAAAACAAAGATTTCGAGAATTTTCTCAAAAACTGGTCAGTCGATTTTATTCGTAGTTCCCAAAAATCTAGCCCGAAACCCTAGCTTTTATCTGGTATATAGCTTATATCTGGGAAAATGTTTGTTGTGGAGATATCACGATTCAAATTGAAGAAAGGTCGCTCCAAAAAGGGTCAAATGGTTAAAAATTAACATACTCGTCTAATTTGGTTACTTTAAGATATAAAAATAACGTACCCAGTTCCCCGAAAAAAATTCCCATTCTCCGATTACCACTTAAAACGAAATTCCCTGCAAATCGGGGAATTTCCCGCGAGTTGACAAGCTGAAGGATGCAGTTGTGCTAATTACTTCGTACATGTCTTGGAAACCACAATTTGTGTGTCCCTGCAGTGAAATCCCAAACTAGTCAGGAAAAATACTAGTTTACAAGTAGAATTTCCTGACAGAAACCGAACTAGTTCGAAAATGATCAGACTTGTTCTAAGTACAGAACGATTTATTCGTGCACTGTTTTATTTGAAGTCGACAGTTTTATACAATAAAGTACACAAATTATTATAACTTTTATTTGGGTACATTGTAAATCATTACGTACTCGATACTCAATTATACAGGACCTGTTAAATAATGATTAATATTCATAATGGTTATTAACTAAAGCATGTTTTTTGATAACCGTTTAATGATCAAATTACTACAAATATAATTATTTGATCAATTTCTATTATCAACAACAAGCCAAACTATACACAAAAATTAAGAATATTTAGTAACTGCTTCAATTATTTCTTTACTTTATTCTTATCTAAATCTCAAATTTTAAACATTGGTTATTAATTTTATAAATTTTTAAAAATAAAATACTGAAATGACCAAAGTTAATGAATTTAATTTTATTTTTATTTTAGTTCACTCAAAAACGAACTAAAGTATTCATTTTATTTTTAACTAAAATGTTTTCTTTTGCATATTCAATATAATTAAAAAAAATTTTATTTTTTTTACCTGAAACATTTTACTTTTACTAACATTTAATGAAAAATTCATTTAAATTGATGTTCGAAAGTTTGGAGTATTTATGTAGCACTATTTATTGGAAAATCTACGGCGGTTAATAAAATTTGTAATATATTAAAGTGTACTCAATCAAAAGTTTTTATTGTATATTCATGAATTCATTTTATTTTTTGACTCCCAAAGTAGTGGCTGTTTGAGGAGGCGTAAAACTTCGCGTGCCCTGGGTTCGGGTCCCGCCACGCTAAAACCCCGCCCAATGAAAAATTCCAACAAGCCTCGGATGGGACCCCTTTTTTTGTCGACGACCACGGCAAACCTATAAAAGACTATGATTTGAGGGTATGCACCTGGAATATCCGGACCCTTAATGGGGAAGGTGCTTCTGCCCGGCTGGTTGATGTCCTCGGGAAGACAAAGGCTGACATCACCGCCATCCAAGAAATGCGATGGACGGGGCAAGGTAAAGTAAGCGTGAAGCCTTGCGACGTCTACTACAGTTGCCACGTAAAGGAGCGCAAATTCGGTGTTGGATTCGTGGTAGGGGAGAGACTCCGTCGCCGAGTACTGGCGTTCACCCCGGTGGACGAACGTCTAGCCACAATCCGCATCGAAGCTAGATTCTCCAACATCTCGCTTATCTGCGCCCATGCCCCGACGGAAGAGAAGGATGAGGCGTCCAAGGATCTCTTCTATGAGCGCTTGGAACGTACATATGAGCGCTGCCCCCGACACGATGTCAAAATCGTGCTGGGCGATTTTAATGCCAAGGTGGGCAAGGAAGGGATCTTTGGCGCCACCGT